AGCGGCGATAACACCGTCCGAGACCTCGCGAGAGATAATCTTGGCAGTGGGAACATCACAGACGTCGCTGAGAGCAAGTAGATCTCCGAAACTGGACATGCGGTCCGCTCCACGGGCGCGAGCATAAGCCTGGGCCAGTCCAGAAGTCTCGATACCGGCAATGTCATCAACCATGTAGACCTTGCGCTCCTTGTCGCTCAGGGGGACACCGACGGCAGCACCGGCAGGAGAGACGTGCTTGAAGCTGGCTGCAGCGGGGTAGCCAAGAGCATGCTTGAGCTCCTTGACCAGAGCCCAGGCGTTGAGGGCATCGAGCAGGTTGATGTAGCCCGGGGATCCATTAAGAGCCTTGAAGGGCAGCTTGCCATTGAGCATGTAAGCAGAGGCAGGCTTCTGGTGAGGGTTGGCTCCGTAGCGCAGAGACAAGTGCTGCTCGCCGTTACCAGCATACTGCTTGCGGAAGAAGCCCGAGATGGCAGTGTCGTAGTCCGCAGTGTGCTCAAAGGCCTTGAGAGCGTACAGCTTCCGGCTGGCCTCGGAGATCTCTCCAGCCTCCAGCTCCTTCAGGAACTCGGGGTAGTTCTGGGGGTCAGAGAGGATGGTGACACGAGCGTGGTTCTTGGCAGCAGCGCGCAGAAGGGTTACACCGCCGATATCAATCTCCTCAACGGCTTCGGCGATGGTGACATTGACCTTGTTTACGGTCTCCTTGAAGGGGTAGAGGTTGCAGACGACGAAATCAACCTTGGAAATCTTCTGGTCGGCCAGATCCTTCTCGTCGGACTCGATGTCGCGAGCAAGGATGCCACCGTGGACAGCGGGGTGAAGGGTCTTGACACGGCCACCGAGCATCTCAGGAGCGTGGGTAATAGCAGAGACATCCCTAACAATCGAAACGCCATGTCAATGGCTATCACTCCGCGTAAATGGCGGGAGATAGTGACTCACTCAACCGGGAACCCAGCTTCACGGATCATTCTGGCGGTACCACCAGACGCGAGCAGACGGACATTGTGCTTGACCAGACCCTTGGCCAGGTCCAGCAGGCCAGTCTTGTCGTAGACGGAGAGGATAGCTGTTTATAAAAAAGAAGTGTACAAGCTTGAGTCAGTCCAATGTTCGTTTCAATTCCAGGCAAGTAACGAAAACTCAGAGTGGGGAAGCAACCGGCCAGTACGACTTGGCGAGCAACAGACCCAAGCTCCGAGTGAGGGGAAGAAGAGGTTGAGAAGATATCAATAATGGACATACCTGACTTTTGTTGAGACATTGCGAGACACTGACAGTGATGGACACTGGGACACAACAGAGTCAGAATCGAGCACCGACGAAAATTTAAGACGGGTGGTTGGAGTATGGAAAAAAGTTCAGATGACAGTCATGTCAGGAGCCCCGCCTGAAGTCAATTGAATTGGGTCGTGAGGGCGATAAGTCTTTTATTGGGTACTCTTACCTGAGAATATGACAGTCTGGATAGAATGAAGATAAATTTCACAGTATCTGTCAGTCACAGCAACAAGAAGTATCTGCAACAGTTATCTACCTTACAGCTTTTCTATCCCTGCTCATCCCACCGCGGGGTCAATCATGCCTCTTTCCTCTCCGAGGATCATGGCCGCTCTCGGACTGTTTGTATGATTACAGGTGATTTCCAGAATAACAGCCCCACTCCCCTTCACCATCTGGTAATTCAGCTTCATGATGTAATGTAATTTCAAAAATGATCTCTTGGACCAGAGCTGTTGCTTGATCTCCACATATGCTATGCAATACATGCTTACGTAACTATACACTGCGCATCCGGCCAGCCAACTCACATGACACAGCACAGACCATCCGTCCCCATCCCGACCACAAAACTCGCGCGGCATGAAAACTTCTTTCCTTTTTCTTTTCTTCTTTTTCTCTCTTCATGAACAACGCAAATAACAACATTCTCTCAAAAGCGTTCCTACGAGGATTATCCTCTTCCACAGAAGAGATAGGCCTATGAAGTACGGAAATCGTCATATTGAATGGAGAGGGATTGTGGGAAACCGCAAAGTGTCGATCTTGGGTGCAGTGTCTGACTTGATCTCGTCTAATGGCGAGCTCGGTGGAAGGGACTGCAATGATTGGCTCTACAGCCTTTGTAGAATAATGAAGATGTGTATGGTGTATGGTGACCATCTATGTGTGGTCGAAGTGGCCGATGACTCGGCACCTAGAGTAGTTGGAAATGTCGCCATTGACATCGTAAGATCATACCCAAAAGCTTGACCTCCAAACCTAAAAGGGCTTGGTGATCAGGATCATTTTCATTATCCTATCATGAAGCTATTCTATGCCGAGAGACCTATCTATCGAGGGTAACCTGTGAAACGAAGCTACCTGGAGCCGATCAACCCAAAACTAAGCGACCTAAAAATGAACAAGAAATGAGGAAAAATCGAAGGACGTTAACAGGGACTCCACTAATTGAGCCTATCTCTGCCTGTACCTCCGATGGCAAGTTGCCGGCCGACGTTGCCAAAGCAGACGCAGGCGCAGAAAAGAACACTTGAGAGCCATATCCGGATCGCAACAGCCTCCTGAGTGAGGCCCGTCACCAGTCCGTATTCCAGGACAGTGCCATTCAGCAGAGGAATGGCAGTCGCAGGAGTATCTGCGGGAGTTGGGACCAACTCTGGCTTGAGCCCCAGCACCACACCTGTCCCGGCTAGTCCCACCACGGTCGACAAGATGAAACCTGCCTTTGTGCGGTCAATGAGATACCACAGCACAGGGTTGACAAGAGCAAGAGTGGCAGACGCCTGAGTTGTTGATTCCCAGGGAAGTCTCCTCTGTGCAGCAGAGCCGAGTCAGCGTTACAAGCCTTTAGGTAGATAGATGCGAGTGATCAGAAAAGCAAAAGAATTGAGATAACTTCCTTACCAGAGCAAACGCAATTCCAACAAAGGCCCCAACGCTCCGAGCCACTGTAACCCAAGCTGGAGTACGATCTTCGCTGGGACGATGGCTCCCCTGCCCTTTGACGACCCGGGAACGATCCGTATCCCACTCCCCAGCAAAGGAATCCAGCCAGGGAAGCACATTTCCCAGAGCCACTCCAGCCAGACCCCACAAACCCAGGTATTGCCAAGAGTCGTAGGCGCGAATATTCTCCAACTTCACTGGCGTGATCCAGTGATTCTCATGTAAATGGACTGTGATAACTCCGTAGGCCACACCGAACCCAAAGAGAAGCACACTTCGGAACACCTGAGGCAGAATCACTCCACGCAATAGCCCATGACTGAGGCGCGATCGAGTTCTCTGCAGTGAACGGCGACTTGGCGTCTCAGGAGACGTTTTAATGCTTGGTGGATTCTCCGAGATAGGTGTTTGTACCTCCGTGCCCCAGGGGCTCGACTCGTCTCGGGCGCCTTCGAATGCGGTCGGAGAATAAATGCCATAAAGCGTAGACGACGTCAGGTTCATGATGGAAGCATTGCGGCTTACGCTGGTCGAACCGGCTTCCTTGGGGTTGAGCAGATCAGAATTGGCGGGTTCGGCAGGAGTAGGAGATTCGGACGATTCGTTCGAAGCAGGCGTAAGGTCGAACACTCGCCGCGGACGAGGATGAAGGATGGTGGGTTTATCAGACATAATGGGTGATCTGCTGAATAAGGAAGGATATGGTATGTTTCGCAGCGGGGACAGAAGCAAACGATCTGGTAGTTGCGGTCCCCCAAATACAAATATGAGTTCGATACGGTATCGGAAGGTGAAGTGAAGGTTACAACCGAGGATCCTCCGGGTTTATATCGTCGAAAATAAACCAAGGCTAGGATGATGAATGATCGAATGGCCCCTGTAAGTAAATGTGATCTCTGTAGTAGAGAAAATAGCCAGCCTGATGGTGGCAAGGTACTGGGTGGGGAGACACCCTGGAAAAAAGGAGGAGAAAGAGGTCAAGGACCTGTCAGGTGTGCAGCGACAACACTGGAAGCTGCTCTAGCTGTCCGGAGTACTTCTGTAGCAATGACAGCGCAGTCGTCAACCTAGCGGAGGTTTGAAACTCTGAGGAGATGAGATGAGGGAAGGCGACAGAAGCCGACTCGTTCAAGAGCTGGAGTGGAGCACACTTGCAGGTGGAAGTCGGCGGCAAGATCCCCTATGATCGACGGATTTCTGGGGCGCACAAACGACGGATGGAGGACGAGTATAATACAGTTTCGGTTGCAATTCTATAAAAAGCAAATATGACACGTTTACAAGTGTAACCCGATACAAGGATAATCACAAAGACAGATGCAATAGTGAGTGTGGATGTTTATCTTGTGAGGAGATCATTTTAATTGAGGTTGGACAGGGGGACGACGACGGAGGCGGCGGTAGCGTTCACATGTCAATAATGACCATTGTTGAGTCAATCGAGACATGATCGTATGGTCATTTCCCAACCATTCAGGGTTCCCCTCCACAAAGTCTTTATTTCATATGTGTCCGGGACTCCGTGCAGAGGTACATACTGTAGTAACTGGTATAGATAACGATACATGGTTCGACTCTACAGCTCCAAGGCTGCACTGCAGCAGCAGCCACCTCTCCACTTGATTTGCACCACAGCCCTTGGACTGCCCAATAACGACATTCGACCGGTTCTGGAACGTCTCTCTAATATCCATTTACCTCCGACGCTGGATTTATCGGACTTATCGGTTGCGGTTGTTCGACATCTCTTCATCATGAACTTGACATTGATGACAGTAGAAGACAATGTAGCACATGTAGCATATGTAGCGGAACTGAGTCGTGAGTAAATGTTTGTTCTGAACACTCATAATCATGTGGCTACCGCAGTCTGCTATGGTAACAAGATCGACACGGTCACATGGGCAAGGGCACATTAAGAATTTTGGAAGAGGGCAATGAGGAAGACAAAGTAAGAAACAGAGTGCTAGAATATGAAACGTCTAGTGTGACTTGTAAGAAAGAGCATTCCAAGACGGAACCAAATCATGAAAGCGGTGCGTCTACTAGACTTTGCCATCGTCTAGGACAGCGGTAGTATCACCAGCAACAGAAGAGGTCTCGCTGGCAGCGTATCCATTTCCGCCTTCGAAAGTCGAGGAGTTTTCGTCCACATCGACTCCACCATCTCCGTCGTCGAGATCCTCCTCATCGTCAACTTCGTCGTCAGATGATAACGCTTCGGCGTCGTCATCCGCATCACCACCCATGAAACTATCCTCGTAACCAGGCTCTGCTGGGCGCGAAGATCGATCGTCGCGATCCGCAGCGTCATCTTCATCCCCGCTTCCTTCACCTAGCAGTTCGCGATCCAGGTCGTCGAGACCTTCGCCGTCGAGATCGGCGTCCTCATCGGCTAGACGAATGGAAGGAGGCAACGGTGAGAGCTCCTGGTCTTGCGAAGGAACATCGAGATCATCCTTGCCTGCCACACCTGAAGACGCCCCGCCAGCAGCGCGGCTAGGGCGACTTCGGCTGCTCTTGGAGCGGGAGGATGAAGCAGTTTGCCCCTTGGAGGCCTCGCCGCCGGCCGCAGCACCAGCAGCGCCGGCCTCTGCTTCGGCGAGCTTTCGCCTGGCATTGCGCGCAGCGCGGGCTCTGCTACGAGCGGACATCGAGGTTCGCCCACTCAGGTCAAGGGCATCCATGGCATAGCCGTTCTGCCTGGCTTTCTGGCGCTCCTCTCTCTCTTTCTTGCGGTCTCTCTTCGGACCATTCGCGTTTTCATAATCCCAGCGGTCAAGCCTTCTGGCGGCCTTACGAACCACAGATAAAAAGTAGCCAGCAGACTCTCCAAAGTCTTCTTCTTCCTCGTGGTGAGGGATCAAGCCACCTTTGCCCCATGAGGCCTCCTCGTCCTCAGTGTCGTAACCTTCCGGAAGAGATTGCAACAAGCGACCGTAGCGTGCGAACGGGACTTCGCTTTCTCTCTTCGCTCGTAAAATCCGGTAAGCCTCGTTTTTACGCTTGGCCAGGAGGTAATCGATACGCTGGCGCCGATTCTGTTCGACAGCCAATTGGTGCTGGGTAAGTGGTCGTGGGCGGCGAGCTGAGGAAGGCTGACCAATAGTGGATTCGGTCACGAATCTATTCAGAATCGGATGACCTGATCCTGGAGGGGCCGGCGAGGACGCGTCGGGGGTCTGCTCCATCTTAGTCTTCAAAATCAGTCGCTGCTGACCAACCGAGCGGTTGAGAGACGACTCCCGCTTCGGTCGTTTGGACTCAGAACGCGATGATTGAGTAGGCGTCAGATAGCCTTCATCTTGATCCGCTGGACGCTTGGAAGGTGGCCGCATAGAACTGGTTCCATTATAATCTTCGTCTATTCATAGACAATCTTGGTCAACGCATGATTACACATGTAGGATCATTGAAATAAGAACTCACACGGAGGACCTTCTCCCGCGACCACCTTGTCGCTGTTTGAGGGGTCAAACGGAGCTAGAAAAGCGGTTAGCCTAAGACTTCAAGGTCGCGAAGGGAGATGGTCGGAATTACCCTTTCGTGGACGCTTTGGCGGCCTGGGCAATGGCTCGTCCTCTTCCAGAATGCCTATGACAACATCAGCACATGCACGTAAGGCCGGAAATGAGTTGACATTGCATATAAGCTTACGTTTACGCTCCAAGCGTTTTGTTTCACCGTATTCGATTTCCGAGGGCGTATCCACGTTTTCCTCGTTTGCCTGCTCTTCCGTGAGGCTCTCGAAGCTAGGCACCTTGATTGGCAAGCCCTCGGCTCCTTCACCATCCTGGCCCGGGCCGAATGGGTTGTTGAGGGCGGCTTCGCGCGAGTAATCACTCTCTAAATACCACCACATAAGCCATAAGAAAGCCCTCGCACGGCTCTTACTGCTGAGCGTGGATCTCATGACCAAGTCGAAGAAATCACGGGGAGGGAAGAAGTGCAACTCGGACACCTTGGGTGCGTATTGTGCGAGGACAAAGATGAGGTGCACCGGATTAGTCCGAGGGATGGGATGGCGTTTGATCTTCTCGAGCGTATTCGGCTGGTCAACATCCTCCGATGCACCCTTGAGGATGGATTTGAGACGAGGAGCATCCTGAAGCTGCTTGTATGCGTTGGGGTCCTGGTGTGCCTGCAAGGAAGGAATGGAGTGATAAGTACGTAGTTGAGCGCGCATTTCTGGGAAAACTAGATTTGTCTTCAAGTCAGTCTCGAGATGCAACTGCACAAGTTACGGGAGGGTTTAGGGAGGAATGAGACCGCGAAGCGGGCTGAGTGAAGCGACAAAGAGAAGGGCAAAACCGTACAGTTCAAAGTGGTATTCATCCTCCCAAAGTTAACAAGCAGACAAACCATCGCCATGTTGATGGCGGCTTGCTTATCGCTCTGCAGTTTGTCCTTGAGAATCTTGCTCGTCTTACTGCTCCTCGCCATCGCATCGATGTAAATATCCGCAAAATCCAAGTTCTTCTTGCCATCGGACCATCGAGTGAAGACCGGGGTCTTGTCCTCGAAGACAAGTTTGAGAAATTGGTACTGGATGTCCTTGCGCCAGAGCGGCATGCCATCTTCCTTTTTCAGATGCCTGATTTTGTTTCCCGAGTAGACGGAGCCAATGGTGCCATTCGCCTGACGCCTGATGCCGACCGTCGCGCTGACCGTACTGTGCGAGGGCTGCTCGTCCTGGGTTTCGGACTGCGCAAACGACTCGTCTGCGACGTTGCTTTCGACGTCGGCCATCTTCGAAGGGACCCGTCAATGCAGCAATTTCTCGAGAGGTAGGTTATTATCAATGGAGAAATTATCCACTGTCGCGAACGGTCAGAAGTGGTGGATTTGTTGATTCGTGCCCCAGGGGGGGGCCTCACACGCTGTCAGACTTCGGTTATCGAGGACCGCGAAGCGTGTAGCTATTTTAAGGGGAGGAAATGATGCCACAAGTTTATAGCTAGAACCAATGAAGAATGAGAGAAACTCCAGAGGGCTGGAGATGAAAAAATGAAGATGAGGGCGGGATGCGACGATAATAAATATAATCGAAGATGGATTCTGGTGTTGGATGAAGAGAAAAGAAAGTGGTTCGAGCAAACGCAAAAGGAGCGTTGTGGGTGTTCTGGTGCCGATATTTTGGTCTTTCTGGCTTCCTTCCGGGATCGTTTTGCCTTGCCGCAGCTTTGGTATACAGAGTCATAGTTCTACTAGGTTGGTATTGTTCTTTAATCATTCCGTCTTCCCCTATTATTACCTCACAATGAGATGTATTTGATATAACGCCCTGATCGTAGTAATTGATGTTATTCAATTCAATAATTAGAATATCTGATTAAAATTACTCACTGCGGATTTCGCTATTCCTCTAGAATCAATGCGAACATGCTCCTCAGTATAGATATGAGGCCCCCGGATTATGTAAGGACTGAGTGAATACGGTCCTGAGACATACCTACTCCGGATATGTGAAGTTTGACCCCTTTTGTTACAGAAACACAACATTTTAGACACATATATGCTAATTCTGGTGTTGAGGGAGGAAGAGGAGGCTGGGAGTTTACAGTCAATGATGTTATTATTCCGTGCACTGAGGTCAGTCCTTGCAAACCACTAGGTATACCTAAAGAGGGAATAACGCCCACATTCCATCCACGCAGTAGAAAGGACTTGTCACTGCTCATCACCATCAAGTCCAATCGAGTAAAATTACTGAAACATTAACACAAATATGCGATCGTCGCGTAGAAGCTACAATGACACAGACAAAATAGAACTTTTTAATTGATAATAAAGGTAGCTCTCTTCTCTCGAGACAAAGGGTCTCCGTGAGCTACGCCGTGCCGTTAGAAGGCCTAAAGCCCCAAGCTGCTTCTGACTGTAAACGATGATGCCTCCGAACCAGCATGAACATCAATGCGCCAGAAACCACAGCTTTACCCCCTCCGAGGATCCGAGTAATGAAACACAAAAAGACTCCCATTCAAATGTCAAGCCTCCACGGACCCCACTGCAGAGAATATTTTGTGGACACAGCAGCTCAAGTCAACGCCATACACAATGCAAATAATCCCATCTATATCACTCGCATCGAGTAATTTATGCACCGCGGTAAAAGAAAAAGGGAAGCACACACAAGGAAAAAAGGCCCGCGAACACGATTGCCGCGTGCACTCGCCTCTTTCATGCGGTGTAGATGCGCAGACCCGGAATAACCGTTCAGAGTCGATGGAAAGTAATGACACAGCTCGGAGAAGAAAGCGTCGAATTCCACAAAAACAGGAATAACGCATGCAGGTGCGAGTAAGAATTCGAGGGAAAAGACGAAAGACACAAAACAGGCCCGCCTTAAGATACCGAAACCGTAGAGATCTATGTTGCAAGACACAGTCGATGCAGCTGCAATAGCACCGAGCATATGAAAACCATAAAAAGTACTTTTCTGAAGACGAAAAGCCGGCACTCCCGCTCGGCGTGCATCGTTCAAGCGTGCCTCCACATGGACGCTTGAAAAACAGGTAAGGGTATCTGAAAAAGACGGTCGTAGCAGGAAATTCAACGCGATCTATGATAATCATGCAATGCCGATCAAGGCGCTTCTATCCATACCGACTGTATGGTTCCGCGCAGCGAGATGGAGATATCGGACCGCATCGAACGTCCCATGTCTAAGGCGGAAAAGGCGAACGGAAATAGCAATCGCGAAATGCTCAGCAGATAAAAAAAAAAAAGAAAAACACCCACAGACCCAAATGGAGGAATCAGATAACACAGGAAATTGTAAAAGAGGAAGTCGTGGCGGTCGTGACAAAGCCAGTCCCGATAGAAAGGTGAGAAAAGGAAGGACGAAGAGAGGTGCTTCAGGACTCGTTTCCGATCGTAACCATCAGATGAAAGGCATGAGAGAAGACGAGCCATTCAGACCCAACGGCCTCGCCAGGGACCACAACCTCCTAGGCAATTTACCACCAGGAAGAGGGTCCAGTTGGCCCCGAGGGGTTTCCGTAGCTGCCGCCGCCATAACCACCACCGTAGCCACCACCGTAGGCAGGGGGAGCACCGTAGCCGCCAGCGCCGCCGCCATAGCTGCTGCCACTGGGAGCACCGTAGCTGCCGCCAAAGGAGGGAGCACCACCGCCTACGTTACCACCCACACGACGCACATCGCGAGAGGCATTGCCACCACGACCACGGCCTCCACGGCCTCCGCGTCCACCATATCCACTGCCTTCGCGAGCAATGCTCTCTAGGAAGGAAGGAACTTCTTGATGAGCCTCCTTGAGAAGGTCAATCAGCTCCCGGACAACACCGCGGTTGCCGCGGTTGAAGAACGCAGTGGCGATACCAGTGTTACCCGCACGACCGGTACGACCAATGCGGTGAACGTAGTCATCAATATCGGTGGGGAGATCATAGTTAATGACGTGGGTGACATTTGGAATATCAAGACCACGAGCAGCGACAGCAGTAGCAACCAGAATAGGGCAACGTCCGGAGCGGAACATCTCCAGAGCACGCTCACGTTCACGCTGAGTGCGGTCACCGTGGATAGCAGTTGCAGGGAAGCGCTGGTTCAGCAGGAAGTCGGACAGAGCATCCGCCATACGCTTGGTCTCCACGAAGATGAGAGTGAGACCGCTCGTGCCATGAGTGTGAAGGATATCAAGAAGGACGGAACGCTTGTCGTTGTCCTCGACATACTCAACCTTCTGAGTGATGTTCTCAGAGGTAGAGCCGACACGACCAACAGAGAGGAAAACGTAATCCTTCAGGAAGTCCCGGGCAAGCATCTGAATATCGCGAGGGAAAGTGGCCGAGAACATCAGAGTTTGGCGGTCATTGACGCCAGGCATGTCTTCGCCCTCTACGATGCGGCGAATCTGAGGCTCGAAACCCATGTCCAACATACGATCAGCCTCATCGAGAACCAGGTACTTGATGTTAACCAGAGAGATGCGGCCACGCTCGATCAGGTCAACCAGACGACCGGGGGTAGCGACCAGGAGATCGCAGCCACGCTCGATCTGACGGAGCTGAGAGCCAATATCGGCACCACCGTAGACGACACAGGGGCGAACCCAAGAGCGGTAAGCGAATTTGCGGGCTTCGTCAAAGATCTGAGAAACGAGCTCACGAGTGGGAGCGAGGATCAGGGAAGTAGGGTACGCCTTGCGTTGACGGCCGTAGCCGAACTGACCCGAGGCCTGAGCAGGTACGGCGGAAGGACCTGTCTGGAAAGCCTGGGAGAGAATGGGGAACAGGAAACCACCAGTCTTTCCGGAACCAGTCTGAGCGCAGGCCATGAGATCGCGACCACTCATCACGATGGGAATGGAGTACTTCTGGACGGGAGTAGGGGTCTGGTAGTGAGCGAGCTTAATGTTGGAAATCAGGTGGTCATCCAGCGGAGGGTTCGTGAAGGCATTGACGGGCTCGGGGACGTCGTGACCAGATGCTTCGACGGGGATGTCGTCGTAGTTGGCGAAGTTAATACCAGTGCTCTGCTTGGTGGGATCGTTGGGAACACCGAAAAGCTCACGCTCCAGGCGGGCGTTTGCGGGACCGGGGATGTGCTTGCCATCGCGCCACTGGCCGTCTCCAGAGCCTTTGGCAGAACCGCCTTGAGAGCCGCCGTAGGAGCCTCCGTGTCCTGGGTGTCCGTAAGCATGTGGATCAAAGGGCCGACGTTGGGCTTCCGTGGGAGTCCAGCTGTTGTTACCATTGGGGACATTGGGACCACGAGGGCTGAAATCAGAGGCGTTGGCATTAGCCCAGTTGCCACCGCGAGGACCGCTTCTGTAAGAAGTATGCCAGTCAGCCAAAATGAACACTGACAAGGAACTTGTGAAGACTTGAGACTTGAGAATGGAAAAAAAAAATTACATACTTTGGGCCAGTCCAAGCACCAGCAGCAGGACCGGGAGGAGGAGCAGCAACGGCACCGTCGACGTTGGCGCCCATGGTGCGCTGACGGAGATGGGGAGGGATGTAGGCAGCGCGGCCGTTGGAAGGGTTAGGACCAGCAGGCGCATGCTGGGATTCGGTAAGGGTCAGATTTCCCATCTTCAAGCTGTCGGCCATGATTGCGGTAATTTTGAGACTGTATCAGATAAATGAGCAAGCCGGTTCACCAGTTCAATGTTGAGACTCGTCGAAATAATCTGTTTCTGTTGACTCTTGAGGATGCGGTTGTGAACGTACAATCGAAGGTTTGCTTAGTATTCTTTTAGCTCGAGAACGTGACACAGACAATCTATTCAGAGATTATCTGATGTAAGGAAGGCTTGAGATTCTTTTCGAAATCAAGAATCTGTACAAGATGAGAGAGAGGAGAGAAACGTCAAACAAAATCGTGTCTCTCTATCGTCGAGTGGCGACGTAGCAAAGGTCTCAAGCAGAGAAGTAACACAAGTTGGAAACTGAGAAGACCTGAAAGGAGGAAAAAAAACTGAAAACAGTGTTCTCCCAGATCTAACCCTCTATCAAATCTTGCAAAAGAAAGGAAAAAGGGAGGAAGAGAAAGACAGTATTATGTGGAGAGAGGTTTGGGGAAAGAAAGAAGGAGGAAGATGGAAATTTAGATTAAGTAGTAGCCGATAGATGGGAGGGGCGAAGAGTGGAAGAGGTGGAAGGGTTTTGTGGGAAGGACGAGAATCAGCGAAAAGAACTTTTTAAGAAAATGGAAATACTGACACCGGGAGGCGAAAAAAAAGAAAAAAAAGTTCAAAAAACGTCGAGTTAAAAAAAAGGGC